ATCACTGAGCAGAAGTAAAATCAGCAGGATAAAAAGGCTTGATTTTGATTAAGAGAGAGAGAGAGAGAGAGAGAGAGAGAGAGAGAGAGAGAGAGAGAAAATTTAGTCTAAAAGAACTAAAAGAACTATTTGACATGAGAACCAGTTAGTCTGTCTAAGACACTTAAATATGCTATTAGATCTATTTTAAAAAGAAAATAAGGGAGAAAGGTTTAAGATAAATAAAAATATGTGTTTTTACTTAAATGTGCAACTGTTCTTTTCTAAGCCTCATCAGAATTTAGTCTTTCAAGTGGCAAGAAGCAAAAGGGGCTCTCACCACACTGATTTGAATGTAATGCTTCCAGTATAGTTTGTCGAATCCACATATATTTTAAACCTGTAGGAGCTAGTATCATTTCTTCTAACAAGTGTTCTTTAAACTGCATAGAGAAATCAACAAAAATGAGATGAAAGACATAAAATGCTGTTTATCCCTGATCCAACATCAGAAGTATTCAAATAAGAAATACCCTGCACACATGTACGCACGTGTGCACATGCACACACACACACACACACACACACATACTCCCCCCCACATACCTACACACATATATATGTACACACATGCACATACAAATTCATGAATCCACACATATTCAACACACAGATAGGTTTGGGTATAAATCTGCATATATAACTGCTGCCCTGGCTACCTCACATGGTCAAGAAGGTTCACAGCACAACTAGCAATGCAGTACTGTGGTGGCCATCCCAGGAAAGCAGCACAGACTCTCAGGCTATTTTAGGATGAGTGTGACAACCAAACTTCTGTTTCATTTATGGATTGTGATCCCTTGAGTTACAATGGCTAAACTCTAAAAATTATCAGTCTAGGATAAATTTAGTTAAGTGCATTTCAAACAGTTCTTTTCTCCTGGAGAAAATATCCCTTCTTTTAAGTGATCAAAAAATGCATATGGATGTAAATTTGATGGTTACAAGTAGCTACTTAAAATGGACACAAAGACCATCAACAGGGAAAACTTCAGGGAATAAGTTATACCTAACTATTTATATAACTTGTTATTTTTTAAAATCTATTTCAATATTGATTTTTTTCATTCAAGACAAGGCAGGATGGCTATGTTTAATAATTTTCTTCCATGTTTTTCTTAATACTTTAGTAATATATCATTACAAAGTTCCTCATGTAATATAGTTTTATCATACTATTCCATTTTCCAAATTAATGCAGCCCGTCTTATGCTCTCATCATTTTGGTATATTGGACAAGAAGAATAAAGTTTAGGGTCATCCTGGAATATAGTGTTCTAATTCTGTAGTTTGGAAAATAGAATGGTAGATAGTCATTTAGTGGTTCAGAGCAATTGCTGCTCTTCCAGAAGACCCAAGTACAGATTCTAATACCCATGTTGCACACTTTATAATTGCCTGTAACTCCAGCTCCACAGGATACAGTGCACTATTCTAGTCTCCAATGATATTTTTACACACACACACACACACACACACACAACTTTGGATTTTGAGTTGTACCCTTTTAGTTCAATCATGTTCAGATATTGTCATACAGTATTTTGTATTGAATGTGTTTCTCTATGTGTATATGTGTGGGGTGTAGGATGTTTTTGAAAGAATGCACATAATTTTATACTATGTTAATAATATCACCTAGAAATGAAAGAAGTGAATGGAACTAATTAATTTAGGGACAGGTATCATATCCCACTACATCTGTACCCCTGTGAATTACTAAGTATAAGATTTATACACTTGAGTGTACTGTTGATTAAGTGAACAGATGGACGGAGTTGGAGGGAATGAACAAAATGAGAATGTCAATTAAAAGCACTGATTTAAGCTAATGCACTTATATGTTTCTGTTAGACTTAAATAAAACCAATATTCTCAGGAGAACAAGGATGACAGCTAAATATAAATCACATTCATTCCAAGCCTTTTTATGTTCTTCCTTCCAAAAATCACTGAAGAATATTGACACTGGCTTCTTTCTGTGTCATCACACAAAGCTATTAACATCCTGGATAATCAAATGTATGCCACCCTTTCTACATTATGGGTGAAAGAGGTAATTAGTAAATCTGAAAGGTCTAATTGCTCTCAACATATTATATAGAACTCAACATGCATAGTCAGGATTCCAAAGTCCTCCAGCAATTTATGCCCTATATCATCTGGAAGTTCAAAAAAGAAAAAAAACGCCTAAGAATTTGAGCATCCATAAAGCAGTTCTCCCTCACTAAAATAAGTTAAAATTTAACAACTGTATTTGTATCTCTTGCAGACTATAGCACATCAGTGCTTGAGCTACATGAATGTTTAGATGATAATGGCCTGACAAATACTGTCAAGGTGCTTAATTCCATGAAATTATTTCCTTTTATGAGTTGGTGAAAAAAATCAAATGGAATAAGATGTAATTGTAGCACTCTACAGGAGTCTGACCAACTAAAGATCTACATTTATGTGAGTTTCTTCTTTTTAAAGTCCTTCTAAGTGTGGGAGCCACACATGTTCAAGCCAATCCAACCAAATAAACAGAAATAACAATTACACGTTAATGTCTTGTTGCTCTCATCACAACTGACCGCCATCACTTCTTCCCACCTCTGTCCGTCCCCACAGCATGATGCCATATAAAAAGATGAATCATTCTCTCACTCCCCCTTTCAATCCTACCAGCCATGTAGCCATAACTACCCAACCACCTTTTCCTAGATTCTACAGGTCAGGTAAAAACTGGAAAGAGAAAGAAAACAAGACTGAAGAAGTTAAGTCAATAAAACATGAGTTATTGGTGGGACTGCAACTGTTTAGTCTACAGTCGTAGCTCTAAACCTGAGAAACATGCTATAGGACCTGAATTTATAGAAGCCTAAAGAGTTTACTATGGTAACATTGCTCATGTTCATCTATGGATCCATCTCTTTACAGTGGGATAGACCAACTCACAGGATACTGAATAATCACTAAGATACAAAAAAGATAAATGACCAGGCCCCTAGAGATACCAAGATCAAGATCAGATATTAATCTAACAAGGGAGAGAGAATTCTACATTAAAAAAAACTAGACCTCATATCAGCATATCAAAAGCTTACTTTCTACTCTCTCCATATATATGCACATATATATGTATATATTCCTGTTTGATCCCTTACCTTTTTCTCTCATTTTGATTCATATTTACCTCTAGAAAACTTTAAAAACTTAAAGATATTCACAACTTTAAATTCTCACATTCAATGAGCTTCAAAAGGTACCAAATTTGACTTGCTATCGATCTTGTATGTTCACAATGTCCCAAAATAAACTTGAAAATTTGCTTCTATAAATGACCATTGTGAATGGTACAAGCATTTACTCAGAGAACCAGGCTAGATATGTGAAGATGGTGGCAGTCTTCTGCCTATATACATCACAAGCTCTCCACTGCCAGTAGAACAGGGTTCTACAGTAAGTCAGCACTCCCTAGTAGTCTACTTCCTTTCTCCTATATTCTGCTTATTTGCCTCTTGTTCCAAGCAAGTATCATATTCCTTTCTTCTTCCTGTCTAGAATGTCCTCTTTATATTTCATTAACTAAAAATCTGCTTTTAAGACAGAATCCCACCTCTGTGATACAGCAGCATCCTGCCTTGGATACCCACCTCTGTGAATAGTCACATCTCCCTAATTAGAATGCTAAACAATCTCAGGTCCCCACAGCTTCTGTGTTCTTTAGCATGTAAAAACTACTCAATAATTGTTAGCTTTTTAAAAATGTAATCAATGTAGTTATACTAATGATCCAGGAGAACACTCACATTCTCTAAAATACTATGACTAAAATATGTTCTAATATTTGAGGTATTTTAAAAAGGTGTCCTGCAGGAGAAAATTCTGGAAGCAGGCTCTCCCCAGCCTTTGAAGTTACTCAATCATGATTATGTAGGACAACTCTTTTATTTCCTTTTGCTGGCAAATTTTCCAGAGACCAGGGGAGCTCTCTGTCTACCTGCAAGTACCAACCAACCAATCAGGCTGAAGAGACGCATGCACATAAATATTCCTATCTTCTGATTTATTAAGCAAAATGACTTAGAATCTGTAACTTCACTCTGGAAGAGCGTACACATTTGTATACATCCCTTTACTTGTATGCATGATACCCACAAGATGATGTCAGGTATGCTTTTCTGTAGCTCCCGGCCTTGTTCCTTGAGATGGGATCTCTCAAGCTAGGCTGGTGAGAAGCAAACCCATCATCCTGTGTGTGCCTTTTACTGTAGTTACAAGCATGCATACTGTGATGTTTAGCTTTTATGTGGGTTCTGGGACCCAAACTTAGTACTTCATATTTGTATGCTAAGTGCTGTTACCCACTAAATCATCTCTCTAGTCCCCAGATATTTTTTTCTTGGTCTACATATTGTGAGCTCTGTAGAGTCCCCGGTCATGTTTTCTTCTTTTGTTACTGGACTCAGTAATCCAGACACAGCCCATAAGCTGAAATATAGTATCTGTTCCATATATACTTAATATATTAAATTGAGTCCATTAACAAGTATTCAATTCTAGATTGTACTATAGAATACTTTTGTTAAAATTTCTACCAGTTTATGAATATATCATTTTCCAGGAACTATATTGCCCTAATTTTGGCATATAGTTCTCTTTCAGTCCCTTGCTGACAGCCAGCAGGTGTACTGGTTCTGCAGTCTCAGAGCTGAGTTGAAGAGATATTTGGAGCTAATGGATCTTCGCAGCAAGGGATCAGGCTAATTTAAAGAGTGTAGGTGGGTTCATCTCGAGCCTCTGCAGAATGTCTGAAATCTCTAGAGATTGCCCACATTACTGAGAGGAGTACTGCAGAATATAAAAGTCGTAGGGATACAAGTTCAGTTTGTCTCCATGACATGACAATCAGAATGACCCTGCACAAGAGGAAAGTGAATCTTTTATATGAAGATAAGAATCAGGAGCTGCTTTACCTGAACAGAAATCATCAGAGTATCGATCATAAACAGCTCTGCAGTCCCTTTCATCACACTCGCACGTGTCCCCATGAATGTCTCCCCAGTCCCCAGTCGGATCAACATCATGACAAGAACATTCACCACATACACATGTTCCTAGATAGAAAAAAAAGGAATCTTATAGGGGTCCAGACAAGACAACAAGTATAAAAGAAAGTATCTTGTATATTTATTACTTAAAATACTGATTCTTTTACATGTTGGAATTATGTATTTTTAAAGAAGAATATTCTAAGAAGAAACATCATCTGAAGATGATAGAAGAGAGCTCTTAAATAAAAAATTCTATAATTATGCGAGATTGTTAGATATGTGACTAACATCATGTCAATTTTTCTCAAAGATAGCAATTTGAATAAAAATTTAAATGTTCTAAATAAAGCTATAGGATATGAACAAATTAATTCTTTATCCAAAGTATCTGAAACAATTACTAAAAGAAAAATGAAATATACTTACCTACATGAAATTTTGAAATACAGATTGGGACCAAAACAATCTAATAATATCCAAAAGACTAGAAGAACTGAAGTAAGTTATCCATATTTACGCATGTAGAAGGCAAAAGTGCACCCACAAACATCCAACCAATTCTTAGACATCAAGACCAAAAGTTTAAATATACCTAACATAACACAAAGACAGAGAACAAAAAGTATCATAGGAAATCAATAATAAGCATGACCAGGGTTGACTATAAAGAGAAATATTACTAAGATCTGGGAGGTAAGACCATAATAGTGAATTAAAATTATTTTGGATGTTAGATTTTCACTGGTAATGAAGCATGCAGAATCTAGAGGGTTTGAGGATATGGCTAGATGTACTACAAATGATGGCTCTGTAGCCAATTGAATACAAAAGATTTAGGCAGAAGAAAAGTGCTTATGAGTAGAAAGTAAGTTCATGTGATATGTAGTAAGAAGCAGTCCACATGAACAGAGGGTTTCCCTTGCAATTATTATTTTGGAGGAGGTGTGGTAAGCCCAGGGTTTTTCCTTTCTTCTTCTATATTAATATTTAAGGCATTATGTCGGGGTTTCTGAGAATGGGCTATTATAATGACTTGCACCTTTATAGATATGAAAAACAGAGCTTATCCAGCTTTCTATTTTAATGACTTTAAAGAAAGCAAAAAAGGCACTCATTTATATCACCAGGTAGGTAAGCGTAGATCTCTTTTACCAATCTCCATAGAAAAGGAAAAATATCAGGTATTTGAATTAATCAACAAATAATCCAAAATAGAAAAAAGAAAAAGTGAAAGTGAAAGTAAAAAAAAAAAAGCACTTAAACTGTGCTGATGAGATGGCTCAGTAAGTAAATCGGCCAAGCCTGACACCTGAGTCTGATCCTCAAGGCCCACATGATAAGACAGAACTGACTGTAACAAGTTGTTCTCTGACATTCACTGGCAAGCCATGATAAATGTATACTCATACATGTATACTTATAGGCATACAAAATATACTAATGAAATGATTTTTAAATTTGATTTTATGTCAGTAGTTAATAACTTTAAATTATATTTGATAAGCTTTAAAAATTTCTCTTTATGGTCATTTTACAGTTCATAGGCCTATCTGATGCCTGGTTTCTGTTACCTATTTTGTTCAATGTATTTTAGCATTGCATTTAGAAGTTAAGTTCATTTATACCAATTCTGCACTTCAGAATTCAACCTTCCATTTCCATGTTTAAGATAGGAGGGTTGTCTGACTGACCTCTTGACAATCAGATACTCATGCTGTCCATTGTTTTATTAGTCAAGAGATAGTTTTAGCACAATATCTTCAGGAATTGCCTTTTAGCTGTTCTGTAGCAGTTTTAGGGAGATGCCAAAGAAATTCCAGCCTTCATGTTCTATTTGCTCAGGAAAGCTTAAAGAATAATAACAAATTTATTTTCCCTTTTCTACTCAGTAAGGAACAAGAAATAAAAGATTGTGGTGTCCATGTGAATTTCCACCAAAGTAAGTGATTATGGATGATGATTTTTGTCTCCACTGAAGGAAATACATTGAGAAGAAGCTTCCTAATAATAATGATCATTGTTTACCACCTGGTCATGTAGTATGTGGATGGGTGACACACCTCTGTTGCTACAGACTTTGCCATCTGGAGATGTGCATCTTCGCTTGCTTTCCCAGGGGGTGATGTCACACTGGAACTCGCATTTATCTCCATGCCAACCAGCCTCGCAGTAACAGTTTCCACAGTAACACTTCCCATGGCCTTTACCCAAAAGAATTTTATACAGTGAGGATAAAAGCAACTTTTCAAAGCAGCATTACCTTTCTACTTGTTCACAACCATTTGGAAATAAGAATGGGTTCCCAGACCCTGGCTTAAATTAATCAACTTGTGGGTTTTGCTTTTTTCTCCCAAAACATACAAGTTCAGCTTACATCTACATAATTATACAAATAAAGGCAGCCAATATGTTCTTTGCCTTGGCCTACAAGGGAAATGATTAATATGAAAGTATTTGCAAAGAAATTACAAGAATGACTATGAAAGTCTATTACTCTACCATCTGAAGTACATGCATTACTTGAATGTATACAAGCCTTACCGTGTGGACATTTCTTGAAACAGTAATTAATATTGTTTACCTGAAATCAATTATTGAGAAAGTAGCAGTTCATATTTACTTAGACATGCTTTATTAATGGATGAAGTACTCTCAAATCAGAGGAAATGTTTCATTTTCTCATTCCTCTGGGTCCCCCAAGCTATTGTGTTCTACCATGTGGAAAGCTCTGAGTTAAATCAATAAAATGCAATGCACCTTTGGCCTCATAACAAAACTCCAACTCTAGTGTCCAGAGAATACAAATGAGAGTCAAGAATACCCCTCACATGGGCCAAAATGCCAAGCTATAGTGGCCACCTTGCCATAATAGTTTACATTTTTACTTGTACAACCCACCAAGTCATCTGCAACAAATTCCATCCTGAGTGTCTAGCTGACCTTTTCCAAAATAGTATTTACCTTTAAGTTCACTTTCCATTTGCTTTCTTCTTTATAGTTACTCCACACAAACACAGATGAACGCTCTATTTATTTCTTATTCTAGACTTTCTTAATCATAAATGTTGATAATTTGTGAGACTCTGATTAAGGTATTTATTCTTCCAATTTCCTCTTCTAGGGCCATAATTCTGGGGTAGCCATGGAAATATGACTGTGTGGCTGCATTATAATTGCTTGCTAGTACATTTTCCATTGTACCATTATGATATCCCTTTATTAATTAAGACTCATAATTATATATACTTTATGTGCAAGTTCCTAAAAAATATAAAATTCAAAATTAAAAAAGGATTTGTTTTAAAATAATAATTAATGTAAGGGTTTAATCCTGAAAGAAAGCAGAGAGGCGTGAATTTGGGTCATATGGGAGGCCATGGGAATCTAGGAGAAGTAGAAGGGAAAGAAAGTGTGGTCCATATATATTATATGAGAGAAGAATCTATTTTCAAAAAAAAAAGGTAGGGGGTTAGGTAGAAAAGAAAACTAATGTAAAAGCTATACTTTAATGAAGATGGGGAAAATAATTCAAATGAAGGGTAAGAAAAATTAAGCATCGGGACAGCAGAAGATTATTAAAATAAAATGTAACTTCACTACAATGTATACCCCAGGCAACAAACATAACTTTCTATGTGTGTGTAAGCAGATGGAGAAAAAAAATCTCTTTTTCTGTGTAGTATCAATGATATACTAAAGAAACCTTTCTCAAGAGGTTGTTTTCATGTGAACAACATATGAAAAAGTCCTAGGATTCTAAGCAACAGCACTCCCACAGTGTTACTGGATACTGGTATCTGTGGTCAGAGATGCTGCACCATCAAATTCCTAAGACCCAAACAACTAGGAACACCACATAAAAAAAGAATAGTTAAACAACATTTCCTATTGCATTGTTTCAAGTTAATTTTATTTCTGTCTGCACATACAAATAAGCTTTGCCTCAGTGATGTATAACAAAACTCATTGATCTCAAAACATTTTCATTTACTCTTTTCTGATCATCGACTTGAAATAAAATATCAAGATTGTAATTACATAATGTCTGTGGGTAGATTAATTGTAAGTATTTTGAACTAAACCTTGTCAAAGAATGTTCTAAATAGAGTCCGGCGTAGAACACTAGTCCAGAAGAGTTTCCTTGACATTTGTTTTAGCCTGGTGGGTTGTGCACTCAGGAGACTGGGGACAAAGTTCATTCCAATTTAAAATAAGAACACAGAGACTTGGGATAATGAAGGAGCCCAGTAAGGGTGACCTTATCTGTGACTCACAACATTGGAGATATGGAGCCTGAAGAGGCCACCTCCTATAGCTAGGCAGGAACCCCAGTGGAACAATAGAGACATCAACTCACCCACAAAACTTTTAACCCCAAATTTATCCTGTTTACTAGAAATGTAGGCACTGGAGATGGAACACAGACTGTGGGAATGATCAACCAATAACTGGCCCAACTTGAGACTCATCCCATGGGCAAGCACCAATCCTGACACTATGAATGATACTCTGTTACGCTTGCAGATGTCTAGGAGCCTAGCATAACTGTTCTCTGAGAGGCTTCACCCAGCAGCTGACTCAAACAGATGCAGTCACCTACATCCAAACACTGGATGGAGCTTGGGGACTCTTACGGAAGAATAGGAGGAAGTATTGCTGGCCTGAAGGGAATAGAAACTCCTCAGGAAGACCAACAGAGTCAACTAACCAGGTCCCTTAGGGCTCTCAAAGTCTAAAACACAAACCAAGGAACATACACAGTCTGAACCTAGACCTCCTGAATATATGTAGCAGATGTGCAGTTTGGTCTTCATGTGTGTCCTGAACAACTAGAGCAGGAGCTGTGCCAAAAGCTGATGCCTGTATGTGGGATATATTCTTCTACCTTAGCTGCCTTGTATGGCTCAGTGTGGGAGGATGTACCTAGCCTCCCAGAGACTTGAACTGCCAATGTGGAGGATATACAAGGGGACCCCACCCACTCAGGAGAGAAGGAGTAGGGGAGGATTGTGGGAGGGGTGATAAGGAGGGGGCTGTGAGTGGGATATAAAGTGAATAACTAAAAAAATAAAATAAGAATACTTGGATAATACTACAAGACTAGCTGGAAGCCATAGTGATATTAGGAAATTGGCAATTTGTTACATGGTTGTGGTAGTTTTCTATAGCTCTCTGATTCCTCCGGGTCCTTTTGTTACTGATCTTGCTAGGATATGCCAGAGCATATACATAGACTAGAATCCTTTGAAAAACAGCAAGGAGAGTATACTCAATCAAACTGACTCTCACTGCTCTCTACTGCCATTTTATTATGTGAACGAAGGTTACAAATGGACATTCTGGGCAAGTGCTTGGCAATAGATAAGTAGAAAGAAAACTACAGGATGGGTGATGAGGAAGCAATCTTCTCAGGGAACTGGAAACTCCAAGGCAGGCATGAAGTATAAATGGTGAAGAGTCAGAAACACAGTCCGAGTGTAGGACACTACTCTGGGGGCTGTGACTAAACTTCTACATAAAGTCTAGCTTTGCATGTATTAAATAATTCTAGAATACTCTAAAGGCCTTGACACAACTCTTTTACCTGATACATTTTACAAACTCAGATTCAAAGAGAAGTTGATGTAAAGAAAAGCATACAATAAAACAGGTGAAATACAGGGGCTTTTACGCTCCATACTTAGCATACATACCTCCACAGACTTCATCTGTTTCATCATCTATGCATTCTCTATCATCACACTCACAAAATTTACCATAAATGAGTCCATGTCCACCTGAATTATCACACTTACACCTGCCACAGTGGCATGTACCTAAAGTAGGGAAACAAAAACAAGAATGTTATAGACTTGAAATTATCATTAGTAGTGCTCTTCACTATTTCTTCCAAGTGGGTAGAGAACTCAAACCAATTTAATGCTTCAATTGCACATTTCTATAGCTATGGCAAGGTGGAGAGGAAGCTACTCATTTTTGTGATGATTATGATTCAAGAATTATAATATGTACTTTACAGTTATTACTGTTGACTTTTGATAGTTAAATGAGCATCAGTATAACACTCTCAAAACATAGAGTTCCTGATATGTATTTTTCAAAGTAAGTTGTGAATGAATATCTTCTGATGACCTGTTTCTAAAGAGAGCTAAAGCATTTTCAGCTTTCTGACTGAGGGAATCTTGCTCATCTTACCCACCAGCTCAATGTTTTATCACATGTTTAAACATACAATTTATATAATAAATATTTAAAGAAATGCTTCATTAATCTGCCCATGAAAAACATATGATAGTGTCACATCTTAGCATTAGCTGACATCCTTGTTTTAAGTATTACAGGACTACCGCAAGATTTCTTAGGCACAAATTCTTGGGACCTCAACAGACTCTCAAAGTAGTGCAGAGTGTTAGAGATCCTGGAGATATTAGATCTCCTAAAAGCCCAATATTTACATTACTGGAGGGTTGGCTACATTCTGCAAGAGTGAATTTATTGAAAGTAATATTTTATCCAAATTATACTAACAAGTCAGATATCTACATGCTCTACTAAATAATTTTCCATTTTTAATTGATCCTCAAAGTAATTGACATATGAAAGCTAAAACTTTATGAGTTAACAGGATGGTCATAAATACTGGAAATCCAACAGGCAATCAAGTCATTCATAATAAACAAATGTGCTAAAATAAATAAAATATGCAAAGTGCTGCAAAAGCACATAGCAAGGAAATTTAGCTGAAAGGTGGAGGTCAAAGAGACTCTGAGTACATGTGTGAGGATTGAAAGCCAAGTTAAGTGAAATAAATAAATAAATAAATAAATAAATAAATAAATAACACAAAAGCAAAGCCTCAGTCAGTGGTTGAAGAACAAATAAAATAGGCCTAAAAAAAATAGCATCAAATGAACAAAACTACTAGATAGAATCTTCTGGTAGCTGTGCAGTCAATGCTAAAGATCTCCAATATCTGCATTCTCATCAAATGACCACAAGAAGAGGCATACATCTGTACTAGATAATTCTTCTTATCACATGGAACATGAACTAAAACTGGGAAAATGGGTGTCAAGAAATGAATAAAAAGGCTACGTCACAATGGCACAGGTTGGATGGATGATGACAGAGAGCTGAAAGAACCTAGACATATTTGAAAAGATTGTTGGGATCAGGAACAGAATTTAATATTCTGATGAGTATAAAGGGTGGAGGGGGGACTGGGAAATTTAAAGAACGATATTTGGCTTGAGTGATGGCATAGTAGTTACTCTGTGCATGCTACACAGGGAAGAACATGGGCTTTACATCCAGGTAAAATTACAGTCAAATACAGGTTTAATTATTCCTGGTGAAGAACTGTTTAGATTGAAATCACTTTTATGTCTCATTCTCAGATTCCACGTGTTCACACAACTTGTTCACAGGATAACCATGAGGCCAAGTGACAAATCCAGGAGCCATTAACCTCTGAAGGCACTGCTGTACCTGGTATGTAGGGCTTTCAGAAAACCATGCATCTTTCCTCATCTCTCTTTAAACATTAGTATATTAGTCATATTCCAAATACTTCTTCCAGACTCACCTTTATTGATGGACCCTGACAACATTCTCATTTTCATACCTTCTACATGCTTCTGTTACCCAGGTCACTTGTAATTTGCTGTTACCTATAAGAGGGTCTCCTCTCGCAAAATTACAAAAGGAAGGAATTTTGCAAGATCTGATTTTGTTGTTTTATACATTGAGGGTACTCCTGTGAATCTGGCATATATTAAATGCAATTCTCTTGTGTTTTTTTTTTCTGTGACCTATTTTAAGTTATAATCTTACTTGAAATATAATGCTATAATTTGTGGAACTGCTTCATTATTTTTTATTCTCATTATCACCTTTCTCTTTTACTTTCACATCTCTTCTTTCTGTCTCTCAACCACCCACATATTTAGTCATTAAACTTTCTTATGACCTATTATGCTATTGTCAAAGTACTAAAGAAGATGATAAAATAAAGAAAATTAGGTAAATCAGAGAACAGAAAGGAGAAACAACAGAAAGGCATTCATAACAGATTCAAAAAAAAGTCTTTCCCCAAAAATGTTAAAACTCTCAGACTGGTTAGATGAGGGGGAAAGGCATCAGGAAGAAGGGAATCCTTAATTTATTCCTGATACATGGAAAGAATGGCAGCAAATGAATTGAGAACCATGAAAATGTGAGGTGTTGAGGAAAATGAGTAGAAAATTATGGTGGAAAATAACAGTTTAGGTAAGAGTCTGACTTGAGTTTGGATGAAAGAGTATGATGAATACAGATGGCAAAGATGAAGAACATTGGCTAAGGATATAAAATTATCACTTGGAATACCAGGAGCCTGCCACAGTTTGGCAGAAGAGAATAACTTGGTGGGAGATGCATATACACAGTCATTCTTCCTCCAGAAAGATGGGCAGGAACTGTCACTGTGTCCAACTTCCATGACTGATGAGTTCTACTGGCAGGCTCACTCCCATCCACACATGTGAACCATTCCTATTCCTCACCACAGTGGAAAGTTTACAACAGCTCAGAGACTTCCTATCTCACCATCCAGCAGAAATCACATCTGATCTTCCAAGACATGGCAGATGGGAGCCCAAGCAAAGGTGCCAGACTTCTGTGTTCCTGCTGTGCCATCCTACTTCTCGCTCTGGGTTGCCAGTCAATCACACTCCAGGACGGGTAGTTTTGAATGTGATTATTTTAGCTCTAGTTTTCCTGCTGCCTAACATAACTGGTTCTTTTTGGTGACTTATAAGACTTGAACACCAATCTTCCCTCTGTTCTAAGATGTTGGTGTCTGCACACTGTTACCTTTCTGGATCCACTAAAGAGGAAGCTTCTGGAAGTTCACTGTTCTCAGTTCCTTCTAAACATGCCTTTCAATTTAGCTCTACAATAGTTACCTCCTCTCCTTCTTTTATACCCAAGCTACTACCATAGAACCAAATTCTAAGAGAGGACAAAACTACCAATGAAGATATTTTAGTTGGAGTTTCCATTGCTGCTATGAAACACCATGACCATAAGTTGTATAGAAAAGGGTTTGTTTGGCTTATACATACATATCACTGTTGTCATCAAAGGAAGTTAGCACAGGAACTGAAACAAGGAAAGAGCCTGAAGGTAGGAGCTGATACAGAAGTGTGGAGGACTATTGCTTACTGTGTTGCTTCCCATGGTTTGCTTAGCCTGCTTTCTTACAGAATCCAGGACCACCAGCCCACCATCAACACCTACGATGGACGTGGCCCTCCCCTATCAATTGCTAATTAAGGAAATGCCTTACTTTCAGATATTATGAAAGCATTTTCTCAATTGAGGTTCCCTCCATTCCAATGTGTCAAGATGACATAAAACTAGCCAACAGAAGGAAGTAATGCAATTTTGAGGGGCTGGTCTTAAAACTTGTTGGTGGAAGTTATTATTAAAGGAGATGTGAATGAAACTGAGATTGCCAAATCAAACCACAAGATTCATTTAAAGCAATGAGTAAATGTAAATTTGTGTAAGCCCAAAGCAGCAAACATAACACCAGATGAGATGGATTCTCTGTGTGACTGTGTGACTGTGACAAGTCTTTGAGTATGCCTTTTGCAAGTGTTAACTTGGACCCCTTTTCATAATCATCACTACAATCCTATTAATAATAAAGGGAAGAAAGGCTAACAAAAACACAAAAATAGAATCAAACTAATATAAATAAGCTCAATTATATTTCAAATGAGCTGCATGGCTATTCTAAAAAGAGATTAAGGAAGCCAGGGAACTTATGACTATAGCTTTGACCAGAACCCCTAACCTGAAGCATGGTTAGGGTAGAAGTAAGAGTGGATAGACTTGAAATAGAACCAAATCTTTTTTGGTTTTGTACATTTATTTCATGTAGCTATGTCTATGAACAATTCTTAAGAAACAATTTTAGATGTAGGTAGTATAGAATTGAACAAATGAGAAAATGTTTAGATGCTGTGGGGAGGCTTCACAGAGGCCCAAACTGAGCAACATTTCATTGAAGAGAATAGATAAATGGACAATAGACATAGTGGCACATGCTTGTGATCATGGCAGTAGAGACAGAGGCAGGAAGACTGTACCAAGTTTTAATATGGTTGGGAATATAAGAAAAGCTAAGATAGCCTAGGCTACATAGTAACACTTTACCAAAAACAAAAACAAAAACAAAATAACCAAATACAGCAGTAACAACATTAACACGAATACCAAATAAGATAAATAAAGTAAAATAAAGGGGGCTATAGTACAGATTTTGTTTGTGGTTGTGCAAAATTGTCAGTACTATGAATATAGTGAAAGCAAGAGAAAACAGTAGAGATGACAACATAACCCTAGATTAGATTTAGTGAGAAAGGGTTGGTGTTAGGAAGGACATCATGAACTCATTGACAACAGGGAAACAAAAATATGTTTTATATAAAATTGTTTATCAATCTTACAAAAGTAGGTACAAATATCTTGTACTTTATACTTTGTCAAATATGATTTATCATCTATTAAGACTCTTCTGTGCCAGGCATGTTAATGCATATCTTTAACTCCAACCCTTGAAAATCAGAGGCAGGCTGATCTCTGTGGAACTGAAACTAGCTTGATCTGCATAGTTCAATGGTTCTCAACCCATAGGTTATTATCTCACAGGGGTCACAAATTAGATATTTACATTAAAATTCTTAGCAGTAGTAAAATTGCAGTTATGTAGTAGCAATGAAATAGTTTTGTGGCTTGGGGGTCACCACAACATGAACTGTATTAAAGGGTCCATAGAATTAGAGAGGCAGAGAACCACTGGTATATTAAGTTCTAGAGCACGCAGAGAGTAAGACCTTCTCTCAAGGTGGAAAAAAGAGACAGGTTTGCATATTTCTCTTTTGTGTGATATTGATATGCCAAGTCACACTTACTAAGGAATGAACCTTCAGAATCAATAATATATTTGTGTGCATATGTGTTTGTGTGTGTGTTTTTGTGTTTTTATGTGTGTTTTACCTGTACGTTTGTATGTGTACATGGGTATGTACATGTGAACATGTGTGTATGTGTGTTGACAAGTGATTGTAAGTCAGAGAAATCATACTAAGAGAAAGACTATAGTGAGCAGAGAAGGGAGGAGACCATGTTAAGCACAGGATTCTAACTGCTTATCCTGTACATTCTGGCCTGATAGATCCTAATGCCCTGCACTCTGCATACAGTCCAGAATCCACTAGCAAAACACCCTGACTAAGCTTAATTATACTAAGTAGTTTGTTGATATCAGACTTTGAAAAAGTCCTAGCTCTGATTACAGAAGAGACTCAGCAATAATGCAAGCTTCAGGGTGGGATATATGTCTAAATTTTCAAAGGTTTGCCTTTACCAGGTGGAACAAATTTTGTACCTCTGGAGCTGACCAACCAGATATCTTCAAAACCCAAATTAACAAGTAAACCAATCAAGAGATAAACAGCTGTTCTCTGTAGCTTGTTATGTGGATTTGTTTGCTCACTGTGGGGTTTCTGAAAACACCTCTCTGACCTGAAGAGCTTCTTCACTACTTTGAGTTGCTCTTTCTCTTGCTGATGTAAAAGCAAACAAAGGCTGTGAGAATAAGAAAGTGACTTGATGCTGAAGGACTCTCTAACAAGATGAATGAAGATGATTCATGCACTTATAGTCACTGAAAAATGAATCACAAAACCTAAACTAACCAACAAACAAACAAACAAAAAACAAAATTGCTCACATTACATATCAAAACAATTGAAGCTTAACCTCCAGGGCAGCACATGAGACTGAAATTTAATTACTTTCCTTCGGATGCTTAGGTTCAATATGAGTGAGAAAAGTGACTTAGAGGCTCTATGTGGGCACTTGTAGAAGCTATTTAATTACCATTACAGTACCTAACTACCATTGTAGTCTAAACTGTAACTATTAAGTTTTATGTGATTTTTGATAATTACTTTAATAGTTTCCCTATCACTCCTAAGCAAGATAACTAAATGACTCCTATGAAATATACAAATATTTTGTCAACACACATAAATAAATAAATAAACTTTTCTATACCTGTATCCTCAATGAAGTTCATAAGCAATGTCTGAAACGTCCATTAAATTAAAATTTTAGGCTTCATTCACTGCTAAGGTATAAATTCAAAGCACTCTTGGACTCTAACTACAATAATTAAATCAGTCATATTTCTTAGTCCAGCACTTTAGTCCAACCCTCAACATCATGGTTCACCATTTATACAAAGCATCCTCCAGTTTTATTTCTGGTGAACATCTTGCTCAAAGGAGGATACAACTGGAGACTATCAAACCTCCGAGTCTCAGCAACATGACATTCTTTCCTTGTTGATTTATTTAAATTTTACTTTTAAAAAGCATATGCATAAGTAATCTCATTCATATGTTCACCTTTCCTACATGACTATAAAATTTCATTAAAATTCAAAACTTTATTATTGTAATTAAGAACTTTCCAGGGATGTGGTTCTTTTTTTTCTTCAATACTGAAATTTTTTTAATATAAATAATTTATTTATTTTTCTCAAATCGTAATTCATTCACACAGGGGTTATAAACACAGAAAGGCAGGATGTGGGGAAGGGGATGACACTGGAGTGTGGGTGTTCAGGGGGAATACAGATATCTTTCAGAACCGGGTATCAGCTGGGTGAAGGTTCAGGGGACAGGTCACTATGACTCTGCCTATGACTCACTTGTCCTTATCTAAGTTGGTATTGTCTGCCAAGGCTACCTATTTACAAGGTCTATGACTACTCGGGCTGGTAAATTTCCACAAAAGCTGCCTGTTTACAATAGCTTATAGCCCTGTTTCAATGTTTTTCCACAGAGACCCAAGACTTGGTGTTAGTATACATGTATGACAGGCCTATTGCTGATTTTAGGCCTATGGCTGATTTTAGGCCTTCAGTGTGTAATCAGGGCTGCCCCTGACATCTCCTCCCTTCTCTAAGTATAGAAAGGCTGTGGCGATTCTTATCTTGCCAAGGTGGGGATAGAGGCCTGACCTCCAGTACTTGAAGGGGACCTTGTAATGGCTCCAGTCCCTCTGTCGTTGTCCAGTGAGGCATGAGGGCCATACCCATCAGGGATGTGGTTCTTACCTGCATTGGAGCAGATGACATCCTGAGAATTTCTGCACATCTGGTTGCTGATTTTTTTGGTCAGGTCACACTTGGTTGGATACTGGCAAGCTTCCCCAGTCCATCCCACATCACACTTGCACTTGCCGCAGTCACAAGTACCGTGGCCTGAGGGATCAACAACATCTGGTGAGATTCAGATGGTTTTACCAAAGAAGGATTTATGTTAACAAAAATTTCCAAGAGGATGTTGCTTCAAGACAATAGTATAATAAAATCAAATACTTGTAACTGAGAGTGGCTGAGGAGTAATTTGTTCTTCAGAAAGAATATGACAATTTTATTTCAATATTCAGCTTTGATAAGTACAAATATTAAATGAATTTGCAGAGACAGAAATGAAGACTAATAACTGACATTAAAAATAATAAGTATTTCTATTTAACTGTACTTTATAATACCTAACACCACAATTCCCAAATGAACTCTTATGAGACATCACTGAATGGTACACTAAACTGGTATTTCTTTTATAAATGTATTAAATATTACCATGGAATTAACATAAATATAATGAAGGAATGTGACTCCATCCTTAGAAAGAGAAAAGCCACACACTCACAGAATTGTCTTAGTCCTCTCTGCTTTCAATCATTATTTTGCTTTTAGGTGATTCTATTTAAGTAGTTATGAGCACAGGCTTTATTAAGTCTGATTTGAGAAAGCATACTAATATTTTGTATTGGCTGTACATTAAACAACCCTAAGTTTATACCACATAAAATGCTCAAGCTGTGATAGAAGTTGCTGATATTTTCATTTGCCAATGTTTGTCACCTTGTGTGAAGGAATATAGTTTATAATTTCTGGGAGTAAGATGTGACACTTCCTTGATCTTAAACTGGGTCTTGGAAGTTGAGCAACATTTTGATGTGTTGTGGGGGATACATTCCTACATAATCAAGATAATAGCACTATGTCTTAATATCTGATATCATAGATGAGTAGAGAGAATCTCTTATAGACTGTGTAGAAGCACCACTTGCCAACCAAAAGCTGATAGTCTATTAACTGAGGCAATAAATACAAGGTGGAACATCAGGCAGAGAGAGGATTTTGGGAAAGAGCCAAGAATAGGAGATTTGCCCCAAACTCAGAACAAGATGGAAGCATGAAACTGAGGAGAGGTAACCAACACTTGGCAGACATAGACTAGAATAAGTTGGTTATGTATATTATGAGCTAGTCAGAAAACAAACCAAATATATGACCTAGACATTTATTCATAAATAATTAAGTCTCAGTGTTGGTATTCTGGAAGCAAAGAGGCAGAGTAGAAAAGCTCAACATTACATAGACCTTGTAAGTATTGACCTCATGTCAACAGTCTTTTGATGTGGTAGGAGAGAATCTGTAAGGTCATTATGAACGCATGGCTCAGGAGCTGCACATTTGGCTATGTTCAGCAGACCCTAAAATTATGATTGGCTGAAGTTTGGAACACCTCTTCATGGGATCCAGTTTATGTACATGTTCATATTTCTATTGTGCTTTTCAATTAATTGTCCTATTTTAAAAAAATAATCCTCACAAGAAGCTCAATTAAAATTAATTTTATTCACATGTATCACTTTGTGTTCTATTTGACCACATACTCTTAGCTAACTTGGTGTCATTTGCAAGCATGAGAGATACCTGCCTGACATTCAGTCTACTTATAAAACTGTTAAGCTAAATTCTTGAAGTAGACAAGCTTCTTTCAGTTGGTGAATAATCTTTGCATTCCATTGTCTCTTTAATGACACTTCTTTTAATTGTGCTTGAACCATTTCTGATGGCTAATCATGATGAAAACTGGTTCATATCAATAGCAAAGTATGTAAAATTTACCTAGAAGCTAAATAACTATGGTGTTAGTAATTTTTGATTCAAGAGGTGGAAGGACTGGAGGACCAAAGGGGGAATGCAGCCCCATAGGAAGAACAGTGTTGGCTGGCCAGACTGCCCAATGCTCCCAGGATTTAGACCACCAACCAAAGAGTGTACATGGAGGGATTCATGGCTCCAATACATATGTAGCATAGAATAGCCTTGTCTGACATCAATGCGAGGCGAGGTCTCGGTCCTGTGGAGGCCTCAGCATAGGTGGATGCTGGAGCAATGGGGTGGGAGTGGATGGGTGGGTGGGTGGGGAAGTGCCCTCAGAGAGGCAAGGGAAGGGGGAAGAGAGTAAATGGGATGGAGGGGTTGTGGAGAGGTAACCGGGAAGGAGGATATCATTTGAGATGTAAATGATAAGAATGATCTTAAAAACAATAAATAAATAAATAAATAATAAATTTGCCTATATAGAAAAAAAAAAGAATAAAATAATACAACAATCTCTTATATTGTATGGAACACCATATATTCTAATTTAAAGGTAGGTGTGTGTGTGTGTGTGTGTGTGTGTGTGTGTGTGTGTATCAGAGACAGTCAACATTTGACAATTTTTTTGAGTCGAATATTACAAAATTTTAAAGAAGGATATTTTAAAATAGAAATATAGGATAGGGAGAGATATTCCATGCCAAATGACCCCACGGATCAACAGAGGAAGCAGGGTTATAAGACCCTTATTCCTGGGAGACCTATGTTCTACTCCAGCATAATCTCTTCTTAACTAATTCTACCTTGAGGATCTTAGTTCCAAGCAGGATTGTGTCACATTTGTAGGAACAAATGTTAGGGTCTCATGTACTGTTTTGTTCAACCCATAATGCACAGCACTCTCCACAATATTCAGCACCACCAAAGTGTACAGCATGACCACAATGTACAGCACACACATGTACAGCACCCCAACAGTGTATAAAACCCTACAATGTACAGCACCCACACCATGTACAACACTCCACAGTGTACAGCACACATAATATATAGCACTTCTACAATGTACAGCACTACACAATGCACAGCATACAATGTACAGCACCCCCACATTGTACAGCACATACAATGTACAGCACTCACAATGTACAACACCCACACAATGTACAGAACACACAATATGCAGCATGCCTACAATGTACAGCACCCCACAATGTACAGCACCCCCACAATGTATAGCCCACACAATATACAGCACACACAATGTACAGCACACACAATGTACAGCACACACTATGTACAGCACCCTCACAGTGTACAGCACCCACAATGTACAGCACCCACACAATGTACAGCACACACAATGTATAACAAACACAATGTACAGCACCCACAATACACAGCACATACAATGTACAGCACACACAATGTACAGCATCCACAGTATACAGCACCCACACACAATGTACACCACATACACTATTGAGCACCCACACAATGTATAGCACCCAACAATGTACAGCACACACACAGTACAGCACACACACTGTACAGCACCCACACAATCTTCTTTTGTCTCTCAAGTATGTCACTTCTCCCCTCCATGATTACACATTTCTGTGAGTCAGAGTTTGACCCTTAATTCATGTGATCCAGAACCAGGCTCTCATTTCTAAGGTCTAAGGGCAGATTTAGCTAGCCCATGGCTACATCAAGTCCTAGCTAGAAAAGAAGTCTTTAAGCCTGACACTTTGGAATGGGCATTCTTGCTGGGTTTTTTTCTAAAACCTTAATTTTCAGGGCTCTGGAACTCAGTATTTAAATGAATAATCCAGCATACATGAGAACAGGCCCACTGACCTTCAGGTAACTTCTAAAGGAGTCAGAGAAAACAATACACAAAACAAAAACTGTCAAAACAAAACAAAATAAGCCCAGCAAATATGGTGGGGATGGTATGTGCAAGGTTCCTTTAATTCTCAGCCATGAGCCTTTCAGGGCTCAGCCATGGTAGGGCCAGTCACTAGGAGGGAAGACAACCTACATACAGTAGAACATGAAATCAGAACTTCTATACCAAGGAACAATTATTAGACTCAGTCTCCTGTGTGAGCTAACTCACTGCTTCTATGATACAGAAAGGGCTTTGTGAGAAACTAAACAGGCTACCACTAGCTCTTTACTTCCTAATGGATGCTAGAGGGGCAATGTAAAGAGACTATCCTCTTCCTGGTACTGCTGGTGAGCACCTTAGAAGTCATCAGAGAGCAATGCAGAAAGTGGAAGTTTATTTTTATATGTATAAGAACTATTTCAAACTGAAAATAAAAATAATTTCAGTGCTGAAAAGATTTTAAAATTAATTAATCATTTACATATACCAAATGAAAACTACTATGCTTTCCTCTGCGGAAAAAAAGGAGAAATAATGACGAAAGGGTAGCACTTACTTTTCTCCTATCTACTAATATCCTGTGGAAAAATAGACTCTCAAGATACACATAGCAAGGATCATGTTTAGTGATGAGCAAGTCCACCACACGTATTCAGGACTATTCCCCCTCTCCCTACCCTCCCCCCTCTCTCCCCTCTCTCCTCCCTCTCTTCTCCCTCTCTCCTCCCTCTCTCCTCCCTCTCTTCTCCCTCTCTCCTCCCTCTCCTCCCTCTCTCCTCCCTCTCTCCTCCCTCTCTCCTCCCTCTCTCCTCCCTCCCTCTCTCCCTCTCTCCCTCTCTCCCTCTCCCTCTCTCTCTCCCTCTCTCCCTTTCCCTCTCTCCCCCTCCTCTCCTCCTCTCCTCTCCTCTCCTCTCCTCCCCTCTCTCCCTCCCTCTCTCCCTCTCTCCCTACCTCTCTCTCTCCCTCTCTCCCTCTATCCTTCTTTCCCTCTCTCCCTCTCTCCCTCCCTCCCTCTCTCACTCTCTCCCTCTCTCCTCCTCCTCTCCTCTCCTCTCCTACCCTCTCTCCCTCCCTCTCTCCCTCTCTCCCTCTCTATCTTCTTAAAAATGTTTTGGCAGCGTAACATAATTACTTTAGTTTTCTGTGAAAATTCAGAATTATTCTGTTGATAATCACAAAAAAAAAAAGAGAGAAAAATACTTTCAAAAAAATTACTGGAATTTCATAGAACCTATGAATACAAAAAGGAAGAATGGTTATCTTAATATCACTCAATATATAAATATAATAAAGAAAAAACTATGAGCTTTGAATGTTATACCAGCCCAGCCTATGTTTTAAGACACGTTCCATTTTGTTCTCAGAAGTTGTATTTTGACCTTTGGGCTGGGGCAGACCCAGAGTT